AATATTCTGTTTTATCAGTACAGGCATACCAAGACCCTCAAACAAACTCAACCAGGTCCCTGAAACAGAAAGGATGATCTGCAGCCATGAAGAGTGACGTTTTTACCACATGGTCACAGAGCATATGAGACTCACAGACTGATATTTAAGGTGACTAAGAAAAGTTATTCTACATGTAGAAGGTTACTGAACTACCGCAGCTAATGGTCCCTTGTTAACCAAGGCAAGTCAGATTGATGTGGCTGGAAGTGTCCCCAGCTTTGTGTCTTGTGCTGTCACTAAGCTACAGAGGTAAAGTTCTGTGGAAAAGGGGACAACACATCCAGGTACACGAGAACCTTCTTTGGACAAGGGCACTCCTTCTCTATAATCACCAATGAAATTTTCAGCCTAATTCTCAGATCTAGGGAGGAATGTAAAAATAGGGATTTATCAGAAACAAAGAAAGCCCATTTTATTCTCCTCACAGAGGAACCACAGATAAAAGATTTCATTCAAAAGATGATGTTCATTTAAGATGCATTGTGGGACTAGAAAAAGTGATGTATGGAAGCTAAACTATTCTAAGTTCTGAAGAAGACCACTTTCTGACTAGAAGCATAAACGTGCTGGTCTGATCCCAGTGACACTTCAGTAAGCATCTGAAAATTCATACTGAAGCAAGCAATATTGACTCTGCCCTTCCTGCAACACCAACCCCAGAGTGGCTAACCTCTCTATGTTACAAAACACATATTAGCTGGGCATGGTGGCTCACCCCTATAATTCTAGCACTCAGGAGGCAAAGGAAGATCACAAGTTTGAGGTCAGGCTGGGCTACAAAGCAAGACTCTGCCTCAAAAACCAAAAAGAAAAAAAAAAGGGAAACATATATTGTTTAATTCAACAAAAATAAAATGCTATTGATCTGTAAAAAGGCAGGTCATTAAATTTTGGAGTGTAGCATGTCTTTACAGATAGGCAAGCTAAGGTTGGCTGAGGCTGTGAGGCAGAAGGCACATAGTGCACAGTGAGGCAGATGGCACATAGCACACGACCCTTTGGTCTATGAAAGGCAGCCATACAACTTGGTCGAAATCTTTAAACTTTTTAGATTTCACTTGAATTTCAAATGCATTATTTCCTTTCTTACCAGAATCACTTCAAAAATGAATGGGATCAGTTTGCTTTCTTCCACAAGTCTGTTAAAAAGAAAAAGCCACACATTAGATAATGTCTATTTAAACTCTTATCCTGATAGGAAGCAATGAAACCTCCCATGTTTAATTGCTGAAACTCTGTTACCGAGAAATACTATGATTAAATGCAATACACTGAACTACAGCCATTAAATACGAGAAACATGAGGCTTCTTTGCAAGTGACTTCTTAGCTTAGTCTTATTGATCTGCAGAAAGTGAAATATCAAAAAAATGGATATTTTAACGTGAAAATTAATTAAAATTCACAATTATTATAAAGACCATCGAAAAAGGTAATGCCAGTTAAAACTCAGTGCACTATTAAATTATAAGCATGCAACATTGCAATTTTTTATATATGCCTCATTAGCTGTATTCTCAGCATTAATGAATTAGTGTACAATGAATTTTAATAGCCTCTAATTTCTAAAAAATTGGATACCAATCACCCAGTACACTCTGGCCACTTTAGCCAAATCTAGTTATGAATTTTCATCAACTGTAACAGAATAGTTTTTTTTCATGAAATGGAAGAGAAAATAGACTTGACAAAACCAAAACCATTAAAGTTGGTTTTATTAAGAACAACACTCCAGGGATGGGGATGTGGTTCAGCAACACAGTGCCTGCCTAGACTGCACGAAGCCCTGGGGTTGATCCCCAGTGTTGGAAAAAAATAAATAAATTTAAAGAACAGTGTTTCAATTACTTCAATCTCTAAATATTCCTTTAGTCTGGGGGCTACCAAACTTTTTTCCCATAACAGGACAGATAGTAAATACTGTGCACTTTGCAGTCCACAGAATCTTCATAGCAACTACTCAACTCTGTTCTTGTAATGTGAAAGAAGCCATAAGCAATACATAAATAGGCATGGTTGTGTATCAATAAGACATTATTTACAAAAAATGTAGCTGAACATTTTTGGGCCACAAGAAAAAGTTTTTTGACCCCTGCTTAAGTTAAAAAATCAATTACCTTCCTTTTTAATATCTCATTAGAATTAACTCTGTATGACAAAGCTTATGACAAGCTTGTTGTATACATTAGTGTAGTCTGTCTATTTCATAGAAAAAACCCCAGAGATCGGAACAGAATTTTATCATCTGGCTCTCAGGAGCTTTTCTGTCTATGATAATGCATAGGTAAAGAAATACCTATGAGACTAACCCAAAAAAGATCACAGCGTTTATGAGTATCTGTTGAGGGAAAGATACAGAGAGATTTCTCAAAGATTAAAACAAATAGAGAGGCCAACCTAGTATTTAACAAAAATGATAATAATAATAATAATAAATAAATAAATAAAAAATCAAATGTCATTACTGTTCATCATAGCTCTATTAACAATTGCCAAGATACAAAACAATGCAAGTGCCCATCAATGAACAAATGGAGAGAGAAAATGAGGTACATGCACATAACAGGACACTAACAGACCTTAAAAAGGGGGAATTCTGTCATTTATGACAATGTAGATGAATCCAGAGGATTCTATTCTAAATGAAATAAGCCAGACAAGGCATGTGACACATGTCTGTAATCCTAACACTCAGAGGGGTGAAGCAGGAGGATTAACAGTTTGAGGCCAGCCTGGGCTACACCATGAAACACATTCTCAACAAAAAACAAAAGAAACCAAAATGCTGCATGATTTCACTAAAAGAGTTGAACTTGAAAGAATAGAGTCAGAGGTTGGTATCAAGGCTGGGAGCAGGGACGAAAGAAGAAAAATTAGTAAAAGGGTACAAAGTTCATCTGGATGGGGTAGTACATTCCTGTGATGTCCTGCACAGCACAGTTACTATGGTTATTAATGTGTTGCATAGTTCAAAATTGCAACAAGAGTAGATTTTAAATGTTCTCACCAAAAGATATTGATATTGTGATGATAAATGTGAGCATGATTTAATCATCCCAAGATGTACATATGTATCATAACATACTGTGCTCCACAAATGTATAGTTAATATGTGTCAATTAAAAATAAAGCTTGAGTAAATAAATAAAAATTTTTAAATAAGTGTGACTTCTTTTGTGGGGAAAAATGTTTTGATTACAAATATTGATTTCATTTACATCCATTCACTTTGTTGGGCTAATGAAGGCTCAGGAGCGAGCCCAGGTAGGACTGGAAATGCTCAGACACAAGCCCACACCCAACCTCAGACCCCACACACGCACAGACCACTTCCTCAGCTCCCTAGGTGTTAGCTATGTCTTTTCTGAAATCACTTTTTAAATTTTTATAATATACACTATTAGGCCTAGGATGAAACAGCCAGGCAGATAACACCTCAGAGGTGTCCTAACAACCAGGGCCAAGAAAGTCTCAAGAACATAGATCCCACTACCCCTCCAATGGTACTGACAAGTTCATCATTCAGGTCCAGAAGCATCCATTCCCAGTGTGAGTGTGCTGTAAGATATATTCTATTATGATTAAACCACACAAAACTACTTAATTCATTCTTAACTATTACACCAAATCCTCTCCACATCACCATATCACAAGCAAGCTGGCCTGAATTCCCTCCATCTCCTTTAACTCTACAGTGTACCACTCCAGGCCCTGCATTCTTCTGAACACAGTTACCCAGGGCAATTTTGTCCTCTGATTTCATTAACATGATTTAGAGCCATATCTGGTAAACAAAAAGGGAACTCAGGCTAAGTTAAAATCTTTTAGTTTTAAAAAATAATCCCTACATTGTTTTCCATGACTCATGAACTAATCTTAAATGTAACTGCAAACCAAGTAACAGCCATCAAATTCTATACTTTTCCAAATTATGGGGGTGACCAACAAGCAAACAATAAAGTGATTTACTGGGTATTAATTAGCATTTCTAAAAATTAAAGATAACAAAACAAAGAATATCCCAGAGTGTCATAACAGTACTGCTGTGTGATGTACTGGACAGTGGCATAAAATGCTTTCCAATTAATCAACTCATTTATTTTTACATAAGTTGTAGATAAGACATCTGATAGCCACAGTGCCACTGATGGCCATGATTAACCCAAAGCCACTGCTATGGGGACAATATTCATTTGTCTTTCAGCGTTCTTAACCTAAAATGTGATTTTTTTTTTTTTTTAAAACAGTGTCCTTACTTTCAGCATCTCATTTCATATCACCATAAGAGCACTGGTGGCTCAGGTCTCAGACAATCAGCCCGTCTCACTGTGCTCTGGGTAACAGAGCAGTAGACTCAGGGTTCTTCCACTGACAGGGCACTTTGAAGCACAGCTTGGCCTCTCTCTCAGGGAGCAGACAGCTTGCCTCCAAAGCAAGGTGACATTGCTGATTCTTGGAGAATGAATCAGATGACAAGTCCTCAATCTTCATGGCAGAACTTGGATAATAATGACACAAAACGCTTTGTTATTTTGGGGTGTCCTGTGGTTGCCCTGTGGTTTAAGTCACATATATCATTTTACCACATGACCCTGTTATAGTCTAACTCCTCAAAAAATGGAATTTCTATGATTTATGGGTAACCTGAAGAACAGGAAGTAAAGAGAATTATTTAAATCTTTTTAAATTCTAAACAAACGAAACAGAGATCTTTCTGAAATTATCCCTAATCTTCAAAGGAGTATGAAGATACTCACTATGCAACAGTGTGCTGTTCTTCCTCTATGTTAGCCATCAAAGCACACTGCATTTAGAGAATTCCAAGGAGTAAACAGAAATATACTGCCCTACCCAAATGTGTTTCCTGGGATGGCTTTTCCTTGGGGTGTGTTTGTTCCCCTTCACAAGGCAATTTAATGATCAATTCAGTGTGTGGTTAAGGAGTGTTCCTTACAAAGTTTTGTTTCAGAAGACTCACGGGGATTTTATACATCTACGATATATATTATTAACAGAGAAAGTGCTCTTTCCATTAGAAAACCTTAAATAAACTTACAAAAATCTTTACTATCTATTATTTGGCATTCTACTCCTCCTCTACCTGGAGTAAATGTTGCCTTCATGTTAGGAAGATTTTTTAAAAAGATTTATTGATGCTTGATAATTCATTCTAAATAGTATTTAAAACAGCATTAAAATGTTAATGTACTTTTATACTATTTAGATATGTATGTAAGTGTATATTTAAATGAAATATGTATTTAAGTTCTAAATTTACTTGAGATTTATGTGTAGAAGCTTACAAGTACAAACTGATCCACAAGAGGATTTGCTCAGAAAATTATGGGTAATTATATCACTATAATCACTACATAATTAAAATAATATTTTCATAATGCACAACACTTCCTCTGTAAGAAAGAGCAGTTATTTCTAAAGTGAAAGCCTATGGAATTAGGTGGCCTTGATCGTTCTCTATTTTCTGGCACAATTGTATTCCACATAGGTTGAAAATGAAGACTAAATATAAATCCGGCCCTATTTGAAAATAATTACTGGTTACAATTAGAGTAGGAATGGGGAGATGGTCATTACTGGTACTGGAACGCTGAGAGCTACAACTGGGTTAGGCTGCATTTCAGAACATTATAAACCTTTGTAAACTTTCCTTCAAAACTTAAGACTTTGGGGCTGGTGGAATGGCTCTAGTACTATAGCTCCTGCCTAGCAAGCGTGAAGCCCTGAATTCAAGCCCCATTACTAGAAAAAAAAAAAAAAAAAAAAAACCTTACAAGTTTTGCCCCAAGACCTCCTAGGGGTGAACCAAGAACAAAAGCTAAGGAGCTCCCTTTCCCAGCTCCCAAACTCCTATTAACTCAGAGCAGAGGCTGAGGAAGTAAGGGAGAGGCACAGGGTCCCTGCCTGCTCCAGACTGGGTTTGCCAGGACAAGGAAAGCAATCCCTAAGAGTGATGACACAGTTCCAAGGAAATAACTGGTACTGGGTTTGCTTGCTTGTTTGAAATCTTTATCTACCCAGGTGAAGAGAGAGAAGACATGAAGCAAAGGCCAGAAGTCTAGTCCATAAACCAGCTCCATCCAGAGGGGATATGTGCCCTCCAAAGGGATTCTCCATCCACC